CGAAACTTCCGGGTTCTGGCACGCATACGCACCCGACAATCAGCTGGCCGGCGTGCATGTGCACACTGGGTTTTGGCACTAGTGTGTATGTGAATGACAGCTGAAATAAACCCAGAAGTCAAACAGGCAGGGCCATGCATGCCGGGCGACATGGCTTTATGTGCCACTTTGGGCATGCATGCTATAGGTTCACACTGGTAGACCATACACTAAATAAATAAGGGCTTGATTGCTAAAGTTTGATAAACAATGATTGTCTCTTGAAATTTGGAATTATTTTTACATGAAGGAAATTACACTTGAGCTATCAAATATGAGGTTGCCCAGTGTCTGAAGACTGTTCATCACTGGCCAGAAGGTAACTCCAAGGATCCATCTCTTCCTATGGATGCATCGGAAGTTTTATAAATTCTAATCCAGCCTTATGAAAATTTATTGAACGAAAGAGGCCACGGAATGTGAAATATGCATTTTTCCTAATGCCAGTTAAACAGATTTCTCAAAATCTAATTTAAAAAGAAAATAGTAAAATGCATACTCAGAGTACATAGGCTGCAGCTTATGTTTATTAAAAAAATGCATAATCAATGGGAAAGGATGTGTTTTATACTTTAAAAAATGCAATCAGAAACAGATTTCTCCGTAGTAAGCTCTATTGAATGGAATTAAATTAACTATTAAGGGAACATGTCTACGGATGTGCAGTTAATAATCCCATGCATTCTCTCTATGTGAAACCATTCGACCTGCCCAATGTATTTCCAGCACCATGGACAGCAAACTGGACCTAATAGCATCATCATTTAAATGCTAGGATTATGAACTTGCATCTGCATATCCGATTTGCATAACTAAGTCACAGCATTTGCATAATGATGTCGTTACACACATTTCATTGTTGGCCCTCGCTGCAAATGCCCCTGAGGTTTTTTCTGCCTTCCTCCATCTGGGTTTTTCCAACTTAGCTCTTGGTCTTCTTTTATCTAGGCATTTCCTGTTTAAACATGGATCTGGATCTTCAGCGATTTTCAGTGCTGCCAGTCAGAACTATCCTCTGACTTCTAACACAGTTTACTCACCGCCTCCCAGACCGCTTCCTAGAACGACTTTTTCACGGCCCGCTTTCGCTTTCAACAAGCCTTATAGATGTTGCAACTGGAAGTGCACCGCCTTGAGTGCGACGGCAATCACAGTCACACTGGCCCTGTTGCTTGCTTATGTTATTGGTAAGTCCTGTTTAGCTTTGTTGCACCTCTTGTTCGCACTCCTGTTGCTGAGATTTTAGAGGAAGAATTAGATGTTTAGCTCATTATTCAGAAGCAAATCTTGTGGTGCATTGGTTAGAGTGCAGCACTGCAGGGCTACTTCTGCTGACTGCCGGCTGCCTGCAATTTGACAGTTCAAATCTCACCAGGCTCAAGGTTGACTCAGCCTTCCACCCTTCCGAGGTGGGTAAAATGAGGATCTAAATTGTAAACCTCTTAGAGAGGGCTGTAAAAGCACTGTAAGGCAGTATGCAAGTCTAAGTGCTATTGCTATCAATAATAGACAATGCAGTTGTGATGTTCTTCTTGCACTTATTGTTCCTTTTGCTTTAATGAGTGTTACAGAGCTGTTTTTGTACTGATATGAATATTATGTCCATAATGTGTGTGGCTGTAGGAGACAGGTCAAAGAGATGCTTCCAGGGAGATGGTTAGATAAAAATCAGTTTATCCCACGTCGGAAATGTGGACAGAGGAAGAAGCTCAGAAGACACCTTCCCTAGTTTCTTGGGATGTGTAGAGCAGTGATGGTGAACCTTTTCGGCACCAAGTGGCGAAAGGGAAGGTTTAAGGTTTAAGGTTTATTGCATTTATAAGCCGCCCTATTCCCCGGAGGGACTCAGGGTGGCTAACAAACCCAAGGTAGGGGGGTAGTACAAACAAGGCAACACAACAAACAAGATACAGAGAATTTTTTTTTTAAATAATCAACAGTCACACAATTCGAGCGGGGAAGGGAACTCGTCAACCCCAGGCCTGCCGGAACAGCCAGGTTTTAACGGCTTTACGGAAAGCCTGAAGGGAGGTGAGGGTCCAAATTTCTGCGGGGAGTTCATTCCAGAGGGCCGGAGCAGCCACAGAGAAGGCCCTCCTCCGGGTGGTTGCCAATCGACATTGGGCAGTAGATGGAATTCGGAGGAGGCCTAGTCTGTGGGATCTGATGGGTCTTTGGGAGGTGATTGG